TTTTTTTGGCAGGGCAAGGAAGTACCAGACATGGAGGGGAGCCCCCTTCACATATCACACAATCTTCAGCCTCCTCAGGACTCCCTTCACCTCTTGGGAGCCACCTGGGGGAGCCAGTACAGGTAGGAAGGACTGGGACAGACTGCACCCCACAACATCAAATACAGCATGAACCACACCCCCTCCCTACCACACAGACACATATAACCTAGCCTGACTTAGGAAAGGCCTCCAACTGTCCCTCAATGGGTGGCCCAGGGACCACCAGTATCAGGAGTGTTGATTAGAAATGCAGATTTCTGGGCTCAGCTCAGACCTACTAGAACCGAATAAGCCAGGCCTTCGTATGTTTTCTTCCACCAAATCCTCAGTGCCTGGAAAAGTGTCCTGCACAAGGACAGAGCTCAAAAATATTTGTGAATTGAGTGAATGAACCAGAAACCTGAGTTGAGTTCTAGAAACCTGAATTTTTAACAAGTCCTCCAACTGATTCAGAGACACTGGTCTGGAGCAGCGAGGGAGGAATTCTAGGCTAGGAGACAACAGCTCTTCTCCGATGGTATTGGTATTGTAATGACCTGTCTTGCCTCCTGCCCTCCCCAGGGGGTCTTTGGGCTCTGGGAGGACAGAGTCTAGGTCTGCTCATCCTTCTAATCCCTAGCACCCTAGCACCGGTCCACAGTATGCTCTTAATACATGTTAGTAAGTAAATGGCCAGAGTCACAGATTGTCTCTAGTAGATGGAGAAAGCAAAGAGAGGTAGGGGTAATTGGGGAGGGGGTGGAAATAAGGAGCTCAAACGACTTGCCCAAAGGTGATTCGGCTGGAAGGGCAGGGCCAGACTGGAGAGAATTAGAAGATAATAACCAGATGAAAGCAGAGATGCCAAATGAGAGATCAGGAACGAGTGAGCGCCAGAGGAAGGCCAAGCGAGCAGGAGAGTAGCCCACGCTCTTTCACAAGAGTAAAGCCCCCTTTCTCGCCCTCGAGTCCACCGGCCCCAGCTCAGGCTGGAGGGAAGCTGGGGGGGGTCACCAGAAGAGAAGCGAAGGGGGCGGGGCTCGGAGTACAGGCCAAGGCCCCTCAGTCCGGCTCCAAGACCCTACCTACCGTCCTTGGGGCTGGGGTCCTCTGCGCGTCCCCCAACACGTGCGGGTCGGGGGAGACCCGGGGCACGCCTCGCCCCTCCCCCCTCCCCTGTCGACTCAAACAAAGGAGCCCCGGCGCGCGGCCGGGTGCCGGCGGCGCTGCGCTGCGCGCGGATCGAGAGCCGGAGGAGCGCGCACCCAGCCCTGGAGCGCACGGGCCCGGCTGGCCGAAGGCTGGGTTCGGCCCGGCTACCTGGGGTTACTGGAGTTCCAGTAGAAGTCGTGCCGGAGGCCGGAGCCCCCTTGAAGAGGGGAGCCGAGGAGCGCGGCCCAGAGGACAGTCTGCAGCAGGGGCAGCAGCCGCATCGCCCCGCGGTCCAGTCTGGTCTGGTTCGGCCCGGCCCACTTCGCCGTGGCCGCAAGAAAGGTACGGAGTGGAGAAGAGGGGGTGCGGGAAAGGGGGTGGGGTGCAGAGACTCGCAGGCCACGCCCCTGGATAACTTTGCACCAATGGGAGCGCGTCTCCGCCTCTCCACTCAGCGCCAACTCCTGTTAACCCCCTGTGAGCCCGTTACCAGCGCCAGGTTAGCCAGGCTCCTATGGGCAGGATTGCGAGGGGGCGGGAGGGACGTAGTTTTCCACTATCCATGAAGGTTATAAAGGAGGTTGTATCTTTGGTGTCTGCGTTAGTACAAGGCGGGTGTTACTGGAAGTTTTGGAAGATTTAAATAGGAGCACATGCCCTTTGCCCAGAAGGAGTAAATTGAGGCCTGGGCGAGGACCCTCGAAGCCTGTCCAGCCACCTTAGCGCATCGCCCTATTTTCTTTGCACGTCTAGGGATAGCGCTGGGGGAAGGACAAATTGCCCACCCCCACCGAGCTTTCAGTGGTGAGCTTGATGCCCACCTTGGGGTTGGCGCCTGTCCTTTTCCGCCCCACACCTTCGTTCTGGGCTGGGGGCCCACGCAGCCCCAGTCCTGAAGAGGAATTAATGAGGTGGTTGCGGCTGGTACAAAGCACCTTTGTTCCCGAGCCCTTAGGTGGGGGCGGGGGAGGAGGCAGGTGCGTGGCCTTGGGATCGTGGGAGCCGCCGCCCGGCTCCACCCCGGCTCCGAGGCTCTGAGAACAGCAGCCAGATCCACTTTTCCCAGCCACCAGTCAGAGGGTGGAGACGGCAGGTTCATCAGCTTGGCAGGTTTGTCGGATGGTCGTCCCTAGGCGTTGGGGGCGAGGGCTTGACGACTGGGGATTGCAAAGGGCGTACAGCTCCCTTTGGTACTGGATTGCGCAGAGAGCCATCCCAAGCTGGGCAGAAATAAGCTGAGAGCACCCGGGGGACGCACGCCCCTCCCGTTCGGGACTCTCGTCCTCCCTATCCGGTCTTCGTTTGAGGTCGCAGCGTCTCCTGGCGGCCAAAAGAACCGAAGCAGGAGCAACGCGGCCTTCCCCGAGTGGACAAACTCCGAGGCATACTCCCAAGATCTTCCGTTTATTACAACTGAACAGAGACAGGCTGTGCACACCTCCCTCAGCCAGGTCCAGCGCCCAGCTCTCCCTAACCCCCATCTGCAACTGCGTGGGCAGGTCCCCAGGGGCTGCTCCATGCTTGTGGAGGTGCCTTAAAACGCCTCTCCTTTGCATCCAGGCTCTGGCTCCTTCCATCACCTCGGTGGTGGTGGTGGTGGTGGGGTACTCCAGGGATGGTCCCTTGCTTCTTTAAGTCCTAAGTTGGGTTGGAGGCAGGTGGAACTTCTGAAGAGGTCAGAGGTAGAGGGAGGACACAGCTGGGGGCAGCGGTGCAGGCCTGGGGTGCCAGAAGCAGAGAAAGAAGGTCAGAAGCCCCCTGTTCCCAGACCACTCACTCTGCCCACCCATTCTCAGCGATCCTCCTTGCCCACCTGGAGGGTACCACTAGAGGTGGAATTCCAGCTCCTGGACCAGGCTGGTCACTTGAAGGTCGCAGGCTCTGGGGGTCGGCAGGGAGTGGCTTCCTTGGGGGTGGGGGCTTGGCAGGCCCCTGAGACTGAGAAAGAGAGAAGGTAGGACACAAGCTTGGGAGGGGGTGTCATGTTGGCCACCCCCGATGTACTGGTGCTGAGGAACACCAGCTATGGGGGAGGGGGACTCAACACCAGAGGTCATCTTTGTTTCCAAACAAACCTGTCACCATAAGAGATACCACTGGGGTATGTGCCCTCAAGCACAGAGGGGGCATCTCACCAGGGCCACCACTACCACAGCCCTGGGTGGTGGAAGAGGCTGTAACCTTCTCTCCCCCCACTGTTACCTTCGGGTGCCTCACCACCGGGTCAGCGGGCAGAGGGCGGGTGGGGGGATTGGGGCGGTCAGCCAGCTCAGCCTGAACAGAGAGAGGGCAGTGGCTGTGAGAGCACATCAAGGGGCAGTGAACATGCAGAGGTTCTTCCGAAGGGTTCAGATCAACATGCACATTCAGCCAGAGGGGAGGAGAACGGGGACATGCGCACAGGGCTTGGGTGCATGCCAGCATATGTTTGGGGGAGGAAGGTACAGGTCACCGTGCTGTCCCTGGCCCACTGCAGTCCCGCCACTGACCACCAGATGGTGGTAGAAACCAAGGCAGGAGGCTCACCCTTGGCGGCTTCTGGGCTCAGAGTGTCTGAAGGCTGAGGGGCACCCTGGTCCCCTAATGAAGAGCACCACTGGCAGGGAACAGGGATGAGAACTGCAGATGGGCACCAAGCCTCCCACCTGCCCTGGCCCAGATTTACCTGGAGTCTCTTGGACACAGGGTCAGGAGGCAGTGGCCTGGAGGGGGGAGCCGGGAAGCCAAGAGCACTAGCCTGCTGAGATAGCAGGAGGAGCAAACAGGCAGGAATGGGGTGGGGGGAGGGAGGGAGCAGAGAGAGACAGATGTGGGCAGAAAGGGGTTAGTGCCTAGGGAGGGGCAGCCAGGACCCCAGGGACAACGGGGGTTGTGCATGCCATTATTCAGTTGCATGCTGAGGGGGTGACAAGTGGTAGAGTGGGCATGGAGACCACCTCCACACACATACTCCTATCATCAGATCCAGGGGGCTCAGGGCATGGGCACTCCCAGCCCTCTACATATGGTAAACTGGGCCTCATCAGGTCCCTGTACACTGAAGGTCATTCTGGGTCCCACCCTCTCTTTCCTTTCAGGGACCACTGTGGGGGGCAGGGGTAGACCACTTCTCAAAGCCACCAGCTTGGCCAGCTCAAAGAGCTCAGCAGATCCTCCTCTAGGTGACTGCCCTACCCCACTCCAGGCTGGACTTTGTTTCTCAGCCTGCAACCAGTGGGGAGGGGAGGGCGGCCTGACTCCTTTGCTTGACTCTTGGGCAGTGTGAGTCTCTGGGCCCACTCCAGGGCCCAAACTGGATGCTGGACCAAGATGGGGCCCTCTCTCCTCTGGCATCTAGGACTCACCTTGACACCTGGCATCAGTGGGGCCCTCTGCGGGGGTCCTGGGCGTTCTGGGGGACCAGACTGGGCTGCCCTGATCATGGAAAAAGGCAGGAGGAAGAGCACCCAGCCTCAGACACTGTTCTCCACTCATACACCAGCCTTGAGTGGGGTTAATGCTTTGTAGTCCTTTGGAGAGGAGCACGTGTGGGGCTTAGGCCCAATCAGGTGGGGAGGGGAAGCTGATCAGCCTGAGGGCCCCACTTCCTCAGCACAGGGGCACCTGGGGGGAAGTGGCCCTAGCATTCCAGCTTACCCAAGAGTTCCAGGGAACATGGAGGGAAGGAAGGTGTGTGGGGTGTAGCCCAAGGGGCTTGGGGGTCAGAGCCAGGTGGCAGGGGCTCCAGAGGGGTGGGGCTCCAGGCTACTGTCCTCAAGAGAGCTGTGGAGGGAGCTGGTAGCAGGGAGGCTGGTACCTGTATTGGCAGCTGGGTCCCTTAAGCTGGCAGAGTCGCTGGCGCAGGCGGGCACGGTACCAGTAGCTGGCACCAAGCAGCACCAAGATCAGCAACAACAGGAGGCTGAGGGGCAGCCCTGTGGTCAGGGAGCTGGAGGCTGCGGGGGTGAAGGCAAGTTTGAAGGTGGGCAGGGCTGAGAACTCCATACCCAGGAAGGAGCAGGGGGCAGGGACTGAAGTCAAGTGCTCAGAGAAACTCAGGGGGCCAGGGGTCACAGAGAGTCAGGGAACCAGCAGTGAAGGGGTTGGAAAAAGAGAGGGGTAAAGGATGAGCCACTTTGCCCTCCCAGCTGCCCCTGCCCCCAGAGCATGCTACCTCTGATCCGGGCACTGCAGTCAGGGGGTGCCCAGCCCTCCTCACAGTGGCAGTGCCTATTGCTGTTGCAGACCTAGGAGGTACAGGTTGAACAATGAGGGGCTCTGCACTCTGGGCCTGTGTTTACCTATCCCCAGCTTTCCAAGATCTCAGATATCGGCAACTGGCATGTGTGCTGGCGATGATGGTGGGCAGAGCCAGCACTCTGGGAGTCTTTACCTATGCAGGAGGAAATTAGATCAAACTACCACTGTGAGCACCTTCTATATGCTGGACACTGAAGCTTTCATACTCATCTCATCTCATGTACCTCAGGAAGTGGGTACCATTATTATGCCCATTGGACAGATGAGGACACTGAGCTCAGAGAGACTGATAACCTGCCCAAGGTCCTGCAGCCAGGCAGCGGTAGAGCAAGGGTTAGAGCCAGGTACGTGTTTCCAAAGGCCATTACCCTTTTCCTCCCTGGCGGCTCCCTGCTCCCTTCCTCCTTCCCACGCCAGCTCACCCCATGGCCATGGCATTTGCTTCGACATTCCTGTGCTCCTAGGAGATCCACGGGCTGGCATCGATGGTCAATGCACACCTGCCCAATGGGGAAGAAGAGCATGGATCACATTCTTGCAGAACTTATTAGCATGGGAAGCCGACAAGACTGAGGCCACGCCCTGCTTTTACAGATGGGAAAACCAAGGGTTCATAGGATGTCAGGACTTTTCTCAATCACAGGAATCCAAACTCCCCTCAGAGTCCGTGCCTTTTACACTAGTGGACTGTGAGACCTGGGCATTGCTTGCCACGGTCCAGATATCCCTCCCCTCTTAGTCTGGCTCACCCAGGCTGCTCACCAGGCCAGGGCCACAGGCTGTGCCAGGTAGAGTCAGGAGGGGCTGGGCCACATCGTTGCCCAGGTCCAGGTGTACCCAGCTGCAATTCAGCTGTGTCCCGTTGGCTTCTAGTATCTCCCAGTGCAGGCTCCGGGCTGAGCCCAGCAGAGGCTGGGCCATGCCCCCCTGGCACTGGAGCTGCCCGCAAATGGCATCTCTGGGGTGAGGGAGGAGGCACGGGGTCAGTGGGAGTGGAGCAAAGGCTCCCACAAACCTAGGGGAGGAGCCATTTCCTCACTTACCTAGGGTCACAGGACACGTAGCTGCCAGTAGGGCTGCGCCCACAGCTCCCAAAGGCATCCCCCCGAGTATTGGCAGTGAGGAGGCAAAGCGGTGTGGCAGGCTGGGCCCCAGGTCCCCAAAGAGCCTGGCATTGTTGGGCATATGAGGCACAACGCCCTTGCATGCACACAGCCTGTCCACCATCACACGGCTCGCCATCCCCCAGACTGATATCAGGAGGGCACTGGGAGCTGTCTCCTGGGCAGAACTCGGGCAAGTCACAGTCACCTCTCGTTGGACGGCACTGCCAGCCAGCCGGGCGCAGCTGTGGAGGGTTGAGTGAGCATCAGTGTGGGTGCCAGGCAAATCCAGCCAGGCCCTGGGGTTCAGAATGACTCTTTCCTCTCTGGCCCCTGGCAAATGAACTCTAGAAGGCTAGTCCAGTCTGTGCCCACCTGGCAGTTATGACAACAGGGTCCATCAGATGCACACTGTGCCCCTGGCCTCAGCTGGCAGGTGAAGTAATCACAGCAGGAATCGGTGCAGTCCTGTGGGCCAGGGCACAGGGGGCTGAGCATGAGAGCAGGCTGGCCTGAGAGCCTACTTCCAACCCCTCCTCCCAGAGCCTGAACCCAAAGGACACCCACAGCAAGTGAAAGCTACAGCCCAATAATCCATGTGTTGTCCTTGCAGACAGGGAGGTGGCAGAGGGGTGAAAGGACCTTTCAGAACCAGAGAGGAGTTCAGGAGGCTTGGAGAGAGCCTTTGAGCCAGGGAGAGAGCACATAAATGAGTGGGGCAAGGCTTTAGATGAGGGGCTCACATCTGGGAAGTCACAGTTGTACTGGTTGCTCAGCTCCACAATCTTATTTCCACAGTCAGTAGCCATGGAGGATAGGCGGGGCAGTTGTTCAAAGAGGCAGCTGCCCATCCCGTCTAGGAGGGCTTTCTCCAGGGCCCTTCGGCTGCAGTTGCTGAAGTTCAGGCCTGGCAGGAAGCTGGGGAGGGTGGCAAGGAAGGTTAGGGCTGTAGACTGCTCCCTGGCCCCTGCCCATCCCCTCTTTATATCCTGCAGTTACTCACTCTGTGGAGGCCTCCATGATGCAGCTCTTGGCTGGGGCTGGGCCTGGACAGGGGCAGCTGTTTCCAGGTGGATCGTGGTCTAGGCCCAGGCTGTGGCCCAACTCATGGGCTATTGAGGAGGCAACTCCCAGGATGCTTGTGGAGTGATCCTGTGGGAAAGGGATATCCCAGGTCCAGCACCAGCCTAATTGCTCCTGTTCTCTCCTTATCTGACCTCTTGGACACTCAGTAGGTACCTCCTTCCTCCATAGGTGCTTCTAAAGTAGGAGAGCCCAGGCCTGGGTGGCAGGAAACCTGGGTTCTAGCTCAGCTCTGTTCTCCCTCCCTCCCTGTGTGGTTCTGGGAGATCACCTCTGTTCTTTGGGCCTCAGTTGCCCCCCCCAGAATGGGAATACCTCCTAGGTGAAGACTGTACACTGATGAGCTGTCCATCAGTGAGGGTGCCCTGACAGCAGAAGCCACAAGATGCACCCCTGCTCTCTATACCTATAACTTGGGGTTGGGTAACAGCAGGGGTTTTCAGTGAATAAATGGTACCACAGCTGGGAGGAACCTAACTGGGAATGGGCAAGAGACCTGGCAATAGCTTACCATGTTCACACCTCCCGAGAAGTCAGGAGAACAGATGGAGTTCTGAATGGCCATGCCCACCATGGGCCCAGAGAATGAAGTAGCTCTGTGGAATCGAGGGGTCAAAGGTCAAGGCCAAAACCAGGGGGCCAGAGCTTTAGGACCTCAGGTAGGGAGCTGGGCTGTGAAATTGGCCAGGCCAGGGTAGAGTTGGCCCCACTGACTGAGCCTGGGGGTCTTACGTCACCAGCTGGGCACTGTCGTGGGGCAAACGAGGCAGTAAGTTGGTCCGGCGCCAGTGGAGGAAGTTGTCTAGTGTGAGACCCGGGTCTTGACTTATCTCTATCGGGTCTTCATGGGTCCAAGCCTCCAGGCCTACTAGCACCACCCGTACATTCAGGGGCCTGAAGAACTGAAAAAGAACTGGGGCTCAGGAGAGGGGTTCTCATGGTTAGGGGGCCATAAGGATGCCATCCAGCCCGACACTCACTGTGTCCACGAGGAGGGCCACTTCCAGTGTGCGGTTCAGCAAGTATTGGAAGTCTGGGTACATCTGGACCTGTGGGTTAGGAGAGGTGACCATGAAAGGTGGCAGGGTAGGTAGGGGTCAGGGCAGGACATGCAGGGGCCAGCAAGCTCACCTCCGAATGATCAGCTACAATCACTAGCTCAATAACCTTGGTCTCTGTCACCACGTCTCGCTTCCTCTGTGGACAAGAGGAGGCATCAGGCACACTGGCCACTCACTGCCAGCAGCCACAGGGCTGACCAAGCTGTGTCCACTCCCACCCAGAGTGGTCAAATGGAGGACAATGAAGAGCCCCTTTTACGGATGAACCACTGAGAGTCTGAGAGGCTAGGGACTTGCCCAAGTGGACCAAGAAATAGGTTAGGAAGCTGGGAGCAGAACCCTACTTTCCTGGCTCCAAATTCAATGCTTTATTCAAATTAAAATAATAATAATAATAATAGCCAACACCATCAAATACTTACTGTATGCCAGGCACAGTTCTAAGCACTTTACGTATATTTTGAGTCACTTAATCTTCGTAGCAACCCTATATAAGTAGTTTTATTATCCCCATTTTACAAATTAGGAAACTCAGTTTTTATTGCTTTATGATGGGTAACTATGTATTTTCTATATCCAAGTGAGCTCTCTACATATGGGATCATAAGACATGGGGAATTCAAGTGCCTACATCTAAATCCTTGGTATACCACTCATCAGTTGAATAGCCTTGGGCAAGTCATTGAATATCTCACTAAAACAGAGCTATCAGTAGCATCCACCTCCCAGGGTTGCTGGGAAAGCTAAAGGAAATAAGGTTCATAAAGTGTCTAGCACGTGGTGCTCCATTAGCAGGAGCTATTGTTACTGTGAACAAATTGCTATGAGGGTCCAGGGGCCAGCCCTCCTGCCATTCCTCCTTACCCGGTGAAGGTGACGCTGTCCCAGGGGTTGCTTTGGTGGAGCTTGAGTGGACACTGATTCATGCCAGCTCAGGGTGCAAGTGTGGCCTGGCAGGAGGAGGTCTTGGATCCGGGAGATAATGGGAAGACCTTGAAGGTCTCCAGGTCTCAGCTCCAGGGTATAGCTTTTCTCTGGGGACAGGATCACCAAGCCCCTAGGGAAAGATGCAGGAAGTCAGACAACTTTTCAGCTCCATGCCTTGTGCCCTGCCACTCTTTCCACCTTTGTGGACTCTACCCCCAGTACCTGAGCCCAGAGCAGGTGCAGATGGAGGCCCAGGAGTCTGCATGGCCCTGCACTCTTCCCTGGTAGCAGCAGTTCTCCTACAGCACAGAAACATAGTGCTGGCTTGCAGGGTAGGCCAGGGTTTCAGCCCAGAAGACTTGCCTATTGGTTAAGATATAAAGCATCCACCCACATCCTCCAGGGATGGCACCCTCCAGTTGACCCCTCCGTCCTTCCCTCAGGCCAGAAATAGGGCACAAGAGAGCCTGACTCACCAGAGTGTGTCCCTCACTGACTACCCTGGTGCCATCAGGTTGGTACCACACCAGGGTTGGGTGGCCTGGGACTAGCTCCCTGTGGAGTGAAGACAAAGGAGGGCTGTATCAGCTATATCCCAGGGTGGTGCAGAGCCAGCCTGAGGCCTGAAGGTGATAAGGGGTAGCTGGGTGCCAGGCAATACCCCAACATTCCTGCTTTCCCTTGAGGCAGCAGAGTATAGTGGTTGGGCCACAAACTATGCCAGGCTATCTGGGTTCCAACCTATTTTTCACCACACACTATCTGTGTGACCTTGGGCAAGTTATGTAACCTCTCTGTGCCTTAACTTCTTTATATATAAAATGAGGGCAATAATAATACTACATAATCATATCTACTTATAGGGTTGTTATGAGGATTAAATGAATTCAAGCACTTAATACGTAACACATGGTAAATGCTATATAAGTTGTTAGCCATATTATTATTATTATTATTATTATTATTATTATTACTACCACCATTACCTATTCTGTAGCAGCTCCAGGATATGACTCTCACCATCCAATTCCAGTTTGATCCGAAAAGTCTCAGGCCGACTGGTCTGTGGGCACCAGAGAGCAGGTCACCTCCTTGGCCCTGCCTGAAATTCCTATTCTCCCTAACCAGAAAACGTCAGGCCCTTAGGAGAGCACCAATGATGAGATCACCGATGGGGGTGGGGGAAAGTGTCCCAAGGGAGAGGTCAGGAAGGCCTGCCTGGCCTGGGGCATTGTTCTGGGGGGTTGTACTGGGAGGTCAAAGAAGGTATCTTGAGCCGCCCCCTTCTCGGCTTCCTGCCCAGAGAGGAAGCATCATGGAGGACTCAGTACAGGCCCCAGCCCTTCCTCTGACTCAGCTTTAGAACTGGGGGTAAAGGGGAGGGCATTTGATGAGGTCCTGACTCTCTAAGTCCCCCCACTGAGACAACCAACAAATGAGACCAAGAAAGCAAGTTTGACCTCAGAATTTCCCAGTGGCCATGGATGCGTTGGGTGGGGCGGAGGCAGAGAGATGTATGTAGAGGGGAGAGGGAGATAAATGAAGCCTGGTGTCGGGGTGTGATGGAGAGGCAGCCAGACCTGGGGTGGCCGTGCCACAGTGAGGCCCACTCACCTGCTCTTCAACCAAGCTCTGTCTTGAGACACCTGATTGGGTGGGGTGACCGGTGGTATAGGGGTGTACTTCATTGGAGAGGAGAGGGAGGCTCACCTGAAGCACCTCTGCTAGGCTGAGTGTGAGGTTGTCCTGAAGGACCTGGGGTTCCAAGGGCCCACTCAGGGCCTTCTCTGGAATTGCCTGCTCTTTCTTGGTGCCACCTGCAGGGTCCCCAGAATATCCCAAGAGAGTGCTGAGAGTCTCAGCACCAGCTGGGACCCTCTGACCCACCTGGGTCCCAGTACATCAAGTCCCTTCTCTGCCCGAAGGACTCCTGCACTGCATGCTGGGACTTAAAGAATACTGGGGGGCTGAGGGGGGGCTTCCTCCCATAGCCCGCTGTCGTCACCAGAGCGGCCGCAAATCCCCAGGGAAAGTTCAGCTGGCCCAGCCCGCGGCTCCTCCCTGTCCCCTCAGGCCAATCCCAGGTTCTCACAGGGACCCCCGCCCCCCGCAGAAACGCCCCCGTCTGAGGACGCGGGGAAGCCTCGCGGCGCGGTGCCCATTCACCCTCCTCTTCTCGCGCATCGGAGATGCCGGGCACGCCCGTGTCTGGGTGAGCGGCGCAAACACTCCCCTCCCTAAACACCCCGCGTGCCCAGTCCGGCACACCCTCTCCCCACAGCCTGCTTCCTCCCCGTGCCCCCCACACAATGGCCCTCTCTCCTCCGGACACTCCACCCTCGCCTGCCCTCTCGGCCCCCGGCCCAAGACCGCAGCAGGAAGTGAAAGTTCCAAGGAGGAGCTGGTGTCCCAGCCTCTCCCGGCCAGCTCCCCGTCTGGGCTCCTGGCCCCCTCCAGCTCCGCGGGTCTCCGGCGGCAGCAGCACCAGGGCGAGGGGTGCCGGCCGCTCAGGCCTAGAGGTGCCGGCAAGGACCCTCTTCGTCCAACCCTACGAGCGTGTCCACTCAGCCCCCGGCACTGGGGGAAGCGGTCAGCTAGGCCCCAAGGGAGCGAGACGTCAGTCCTGGGGCGCAGCGACCCCCTCCCACGGGCCCGAGGGGCGGGGCGCCGCTCCAGGCCCCCGGGCGCCTGGTCCCGGAGCCTGAGCGTCCTCACGGGTCGCGCCGAGGATGACCCTCCTTCTCCACTCCATCGCCGCTGCCGGGCCCTCGGCCCAGGACAGCAGACCAGGCCGGCCGCGCTCTGCTCGGGGTCCCCCCTGGCCTCCTTCTGATCCCAGGACCCCAAAGCCCCGCGCTCCCCCGGCCTCTTTCCAGCCTCCCCTGCCCACGCCTGGCCCGGCACTCACCTGTGTCTGGAAGCGACCGGAAGGGCAGGGGGCTGCCCGCCCCCAGGAGCCCCAGGGCCCAGAGCAGCG